AAGCACCCAAAGGACCACATGAATCACATGAAACAGAAGGACCGAAAGGACCACATGGACCACGTGAAACGGAAAGACCGAAAGGACCACATGGACCACATGAAACAGAAGGACCCAAAGGGCCACATGAACCACATGAAACAGAAGGACCCAAAGGACCACATGGACCACATGAAACAGAAGGACCGAAAGGACCACATGGCCCACGTGAAACAGAAGGACCGAAGGGACCTCATGGACCAGAACAAACGCAGGGACCCAAAGGACCACATGGGCCACGTGAAACGGAAGGACCCAAAGGACCACATGGACCACATGAAACAGAAGGACCGAAAGGACCACATGGACCACGTGAAACAGAAGGACCGAAGGGACCTCATGGACCACAAGAAACGCAAGGACCGAAAGGACCACATGGACCACGTGAGGTGCTTTCGGTCCTTCAGTTTCATGAGGTGCTTGTGGTCCTTGCGGCCCTTTCGGTCCTCTAGTTTGTGCAGATATGCGGCGTTGTGGTGCTGATGACTCGTTGGTGGACGTGGATTCGTCGACTTTGCGAGGTTTAGTTCCATATGAGGTCTGATGAAGTACGCTCTTCGTGGTGTAGGTGTTTTGTTTCACGGTGGTCGCTAAATACGAAAATAGATTGGGTTGTAGCAGAGAGTGTATTCTGTATGTTTATGGTGTGATTGTAGCTATGTTAGTCTTTTGGCGTGGTTTTGAGGGGTGAGATTAGGGCTGGTAGGCGCCGGTGTTACTATGCCAAATTTCGGTAAATGTATTTGTATTTGACTTGTGATGGGTATGTTTTTTGTTACTCGTGTGTTTGAAGTCTGTGTGAACGGTCCTGTTTTTGGATGGTGTTGGAGGGGGATATTTGTGATGTGTCTCGGTTTGGGGATGTTCGTGATTTCAGCAGTGCTTTTGCACGTCGCTGGTCTCCTTCATGCCGGCTGTCCCTTTGGTAGTGACAGAGGTGTGGAGAAAGAAGGGGTGGTTGGTTGGTTTCCGTAGCATTTTTTTGTCATGAAGCGTTCCGCTGTCTGTGCTGAAATGATCCGCATGATTTAGCATTATCTCGTGGTCTCGGTTTATTCTCTCTGATTTTTGCGTTCCTCGAGCCTGTTGAGAGTGGTTTTTGGTTAGTTGGGGAGAAGTCGACGCGACTTGTTAGCTGCTTCAGTACTAGGGCATATGGGTAGGGAAACGTTAAATGTTTTATGTATAATGGAAAATGGTGGCATGGAAAGATGATTTTGCACGAATATATTATAGTTTATCATCCTGTGGGATGCTGAGATGCGGGAATGGCTGAAAAATTATTCGACGTAGCTTTTCTCTGTTGTAGATAGTTTGGTTGTAGTTTCAGATGTTTGATCTAATTTCTGGACATGCAGGATGAGAGCATGCATATTGCATGATGCTGTTACTCAAGTCGGTTTCTTGAGTTTGATCATAATCAAGGGTTGGAAAGACCTGTCTTGATAACATGCTAAATGTGCAGTTACTCATGTATATCGGTCGGCAATGTCAGTGTTGCTGTGGTAGAAAATTCTGGAAAATGAAGACTGATTGCAGGTTATTATTTTAGGCCTTGGCTCGGACAACATCTCCATAGTAGGTTGATTCATTTTCAATAATTTTATAAGTATTCTAGATGGCATGTAAATGTTTCATAGCTTAGATTTTGAGTTGGAAATACTCATACGCATTCTGTGGGTTGTTGAATTATTGTGCTAGTGAGACGTTGCCCATGGTGAGTTCGTTTCGTAATTGATAGACCTTTCGAACCCCTAGAAAACCAGCTAACTTGTACCGCCTAAACGAAGTATGTCAACTAGCAAAATTTTTATTCATTATTCTCACGGCGCAATTTTGCAAGTCTTTCGAGTAACGTTTGATGATTGTGAAGCAGAGCAATACTCATTTCACTTCGGACAAATAGCATATTTGAAATCAACAGAAAAGTTTGAGCCTAATTCCCTATGTTTTGAACCGTTTCTGTGATTTCTTTTTTTGCGTCAAATTTGCATCCCTGGAGTCGATCATAGATATTAGTGAAAAAAATTTAAAAACCCTGCCCTAAAGTCAAATGGATTAAGGGCTTTGTTATTTGGCCCACTTCTTATGACCGTAGAAATGAATAGGTTTTCTATGGATTGAAAAGTTCTATTGATTATGAGGTGCACTAAGTTTGAAGGAAATTCCGTTAGCACAATAAATCAACACAACAGAAAGAATGCGGATGGGTATTGTATTAGGTTGGATATAAAATTTTTCCGGGCGGTACCGGTATAATTTCAAATAGAGCAAAAAATGAATTTGATATCAAATGAAAGTCAGTCAATAATGGGATTTATTAGTACTAAACAACAAGGGTTATGAGAACTTTCGTATGCGAAACTCTCGACGTTTATAAAATTTTGTAGCAAGCAATCGTAATCATCTACTTTTAGTAATTTGTAAAAAACAAGAGAAAGAAGGAATTTTCTTCGGAAAAATGGAAAAGAGCATTGCTCTAGTGATTATAAGACGTGACTCTGATTCAGAGAATACGATTGTTCTTTTGCGCTCTGTTGTCTGCTCCTCGTGATAGCGGTAGATAAAAAAAGATTTTTTATTTTTCTTCTGCTAGAAAGTTATCGAACAGAAAAGTTTAAGTAGTTTGTGAAACAATATATATCGTCATTTTCCGATCAATATCTTTCATAAAAAAATATATTGTTCTGGTGAATTAAATAAGTCCGATTACTTGAAAATGGCTGATACTTATGATATTGAACAGCAGAGAATTATTGACGGAATTAAGTACAATGCTGATGCAACATTTATAAATAGATAATGGGTCGCGAAGAAAGTTCATCGCACGACTCGATTTATTACAGACTGATGGAAAAATCGTATGACAAATGCTTTGCTGAGTTTTTGAAATGCTGATTTCAAGTTTCAATTATCACAAGCGAGTGGTCGACAAAGAAAACGTTGTTCTACTGTGGCGAAGAAAATTGCAGAAAAGCAAAACGAGTATGTTGTTGCAAGAACTACCGGCGTAGAGAAGGATTAAAACCGTTCCATGCCATTCCAAAACTGTTCAAATCGGAAACTCATATATCGGATCGATTATGATTACGTGATTGGTTAAAACATTGAACTGAAGAGGACTTTCTGCATCTCGCACCATCTGATGAAATTTATGTCTGGATTATCCGCAGATCAAATTATCAAAATGATCGAATTTGGGCAAAAAGTATCGAAGATATTGAAGTTGAAAGATAACGTGAAATGGTTAAAAATCAAGCATGTATTGGGGTTTTTGTTATATTTGCTGCTAAGAGGTCTTATTGAGTGATCAAAGATAAAGGTGAATCTTGGACTATAAATGCTTGCGTGACATAATTTTGACTCAAAACGTATTTCATTTTTTAAGAAATCAAGAAAATGTTATTGATCCTAATGAAGTTACATTTGTCTATGGTAAAGCGTCTTGTATGCGCGCAAATAAGGCCCAACATTTGCTTCAAGACAACAACATTAAGTTTTGGGGTAATAATATTTCGTCTGGAAATTCATCCGATCTCAATGTGGCAGAACATACGGGAACAATAATCAAAGATGAAATCGAAAAAAGTGATATCCTAAATTGGTAATTATCGTTATCTCGAAGGCACACTTAAAATGTGCATTTCAGATGTTTTGAGAAAAATGAAAACCGAAACTGAGTTAGTTGAAACTTGTCTATGTTCTTATCCATTTTGACTTCGTGTAGTAAAGAATGCTAACGGTCGTCATACTGATTATTGATTATATTCATTAAACGATGAGAAAATAAAGAATTTGGTATCACATTTAGTTCGAACTTCATCTCATGAATATTCGTCCTCATACCTGTGGTCGATGAAAATTTACAAATTTAGACAGTTCAACATACGAAAGTTTTCGTAACCCTTATTGTTTAGTACTAATAGATTCCATTATTGACGGACTTTTATTTGATATAAAATTCATTATTTACTCTATTTAGAATTATAGCGCTACACTTCTGGAAAAATATTATTTCCAACGCTGAAGACTTAAAACTTATACCATCGTCAATTTTTATACAGTCTCATGTCCGTTTCAAAATAAAAGATAGGCTACCATTTTCTGAATAAGTTTTGTTGAGTACGAGATATAGACCTACAATTTTCGCCATATGAGAGAGCGATGTCAGGGCCATCGATCTGTATAGAACTCATTAAGATGAAAGATGGTTTTTCATAAGTGCTTTTAGGTCAACGCGTTTTCTTTTGCGTATTTTCATCAATTTTCACAATAATCTCAACTCAAATTATACGAAAATGTAGCTGAAATCACCCCCTTTTGCTACAAAATTACCACCTTTTTTTGTAAATCCGTTTAGAATAAGAGGTTAAGGGATAATGAAATACGTGATCTTTTTATAGCAAAAAATAGGGTAATTTCAGCTACATTTTCATATAATTTGAGTTGAGATTATTGTGAAAATTGATGAAAATATGCAAAAGAAAACGCGTTGACCTAAAAGCACTTATGAAAACCATCTTTCATCTTAATCAGCTCTATACAGATCGATGGCCCGGACATCGCTCTGTCATATGGTAAAATCCCAGGACTATATCTTGTATTCAGCAAAAGTTATTCAGAAAATGGTAACCTGTCTTTTATTTCGAAACGGTCATTAGTTTCTCGCCATCAAGGACTTGGTCCCATCGTCGCAAAATTAAATGTGTACGTCTCGAGATATGTGTCTTATAGCGGAACTCAATCATATAGAAGTTCCTATCAATGATCAGCTGCTTTTAAAAATTGAACATCGTAAAAACAATGTATCGGCTTTTCTCAAAACCTCAAGAGTGAGGCTTTTACAAAATGAGCTACTCTGGTTGATCACGATTGAGTGATATCTCAGAATTTCCTATTTTTTATGTTTTAGAGGCTAACAGGCTTATTAATGTGTGAAATTTTTAGCTCGAGACGATCGTTTTTTCAAATAGCGTTATTCAAAAAACTGAAGAAATTATTATAGTCATGTTTTGAAATTTAATCGATTTTCGAAAATGTTTCAACTGTAGTTGCTTTGTTTTCTTTAATATTATTCTTAAAACTTGAGTTTAAATCAAATGATAATTGAGTTGAATGGTTGAAGTTTTTTTTATCGTGTATTGATATACATCGATTTACTGAATTTCTATGAGTGATATGCGATCATAAACAGTAGTGTATTGATTTCAGAGATTTTTTCATGTCTCACCAGCCTGATTGTACTCATCTATTAAAGAGAAAATTCCTTAGTAAGCCTTGATTACTTCTTACATTTATTAAAATTTATTGAGGCACACGACACAAGTGATTCGAAAAAACTCAACAATGAGTCCTAATAGAATTGCGTCGAGTTCCATTCAATTCATATGTTACTTGCCGGATTCCAGTCCTTCATCATTCAGAAAATTTCTCATTACTTATTGACAATTGATTTATTTTATTAAAGTCTGCTTCGATTTGCTCCACGATTGATTTCAACTGAATGATGACAGCTCTAGATATAACTCTTTGAGGTCTATCCATTTTATGTTTTACACGTCTTATTCGAGTTCTGAATTTTTGAGAAAATTCGCTATAAATCAGCCGTTATATGAAGCATATGGAGAGAATAATTATCTAAAAGCTCAGTTTTTTCACTAAATACAGGTAAAGGAACGAAAGATAGTGCACTACTTCAACTAAGAATGCTGCCTTTTTATCCCTTGTTGACACATAGACCCATATATAGAACAAACTAAAACAGTTTATTCGACGGTTTGTTGCAATCAACGAGTTTCAGAGGATTATTATCTTGTAGTGTTATTATTCAAATATAAAAAGAGAAAAGGAAAAAATGTATTGGTTTATATGTTTCAGTCAAAAGGAATAAGAAAACGATATAAAGATAGGTTTTTTTCTGAAAATAGATGATACGGCAAAACAGAAGCATTTAAAAGTGTTGGCTTTGGAAAAAATGACAAATAATCATGAAGTATTTAGAGATCTTCTCATGCATCAAGTACTAGGATCAGTATGTTGAACTATGGAATCGTTAGAACTATTCGATTTCTATCTACTCTTGTGAAGCATCCCTTTGGAGTCATTCGCAGCTGAATCCCAACTTGTTTACATAAAACTAATAAACAAAAAGAGGCTACATAGTAATTCTCAATCTTTGTTGAGTGCAGCCGAGCAAATGAGATGCGAAATCCGCAAAGCTCAAACAGCTCTGTCTGAAATCATTATTGCTTTTGTTGAAATCCCATGTGAGACAAAATGCGAAAGGTTTTATACGAGGATAAATATCTCATTGTGATTTTTTCGAGCAATAAACCATTACGTTTTTGTTGTTTCGCCTTCTTTTAAAAAAGACATGTCTGAAGCCGATAATATTCATAAACTTCTACTCGCAATTGGCGTAAGCGGTCTTCGAACTGCCATTAGAACGACTCCATTCGTGAACTATTATAATGTTCACCAAAGATATCCTATGATAATATTTTTTGATTGAAAGACCACAATCACAAAATTTTCTCATTTCAAAAAACAAAAAAACAATACTTTCGACGAGGATTCCCAAAAACACATGAAAAAACCATAAAAATCTATGATAAAAAAAAGTTCACCATTTTTCCGAATGAGCGAGTCAGAGATAGGGATCAGATTAAGCCTTCGGTTTCACTGACTACTAAATTTATAACATCGTCATACAAAAACGAAAAAGCAGATGGTTCAGGTATATCACTTCATCACAATTATCCTAATGTGATATACACCGAGATACATAAGGTATACTACCTCTGCACACCATCATCCAGACCTATCCTAAATATCTAACTGCATGCAAGGAAAGCCACCTGTGTTGATCGACAATAACTTAATTTGCTCGAAGCTCAAAGAAAATATCATGGTTTCAAAACCAATCGCAAAACTGTTTCGCAATTTACGTCGCTAAATACTCGTCTTAAATCCAGTCTATGTCCGCTAAAACAAACATATCAAACGTCGACAAAGAGATTAACTTCCAACAAAATCGAAACTTTTAGCTGACAGATATGAAAATTTCGAAGAAAATTTACCACCCAAGAAAGGATTCGTTTAACAGGAAAGGCTTTTAGAATTAGCACTTGCAATACCAGTCGTAAGCTTTCACTATTACTTGAGAAAACTTGCCTTTCTTTTCGAAAAACAAGTGTGAAGAATATAAATCAAAGATATCAAACATGTTTCCTCAGATATTTGTCGAAAATAACGCATGTCTTTTGAACAAAAGCGAAACTCCAAATTATCTGCTTTGTCAAATGAATTCACATTATGTCCTAGAAAAACAATTTACATTATGCCGCAGCATAAAATTATCAAAAGCAGTATATCAATGAACATGACTAAATTATAACATGAACTCCAGTAGCACTTCGTCCATAGAAATAGCTTGATTCTACGAGAAAGTTGAGCGTAGAGAAAATGCTAATATTTGTTGAAGCAAAACTGTTAATGAAACTCACATAGATATTCAACAAAAACATATAAATCACTAATAACGAACGAATCCAACGAATCATACCTTCTTTTCAAGACAATCTCAGATTTTCAGTTTTCCATGTCATCATGATTTATTTCATTTTTCAGATGCATCCATTCATCGCTACTCTAGAAAATCTCCGAAATATCCAAACTATTGATATGAATTCATGTTTATATCAGATTTCAAACAAAGCAAAAAAACACATGGATTCATGTATCCATAAAGGCAATATTCACAATACATTCGAGTCTTTAATATTGTGGGAAAAAAATTAGAATAGCTAATTTCTGCAAAAGAACTTACTATCTCACCCAGAATTTTACGACTTCAGAAATTTCTCTATAACTACCACACGAATGACATCTCCCCCTAATTTATTCATCTGTTAATTGTATAAAACCAATTATCTGTAGAGAAACTATCCCCGATCCTGCAGAAATGGCACTAACAGCAAAACCCCATCCAAGCTGGCGTTAGATGTGAGTCATTTCTTATAATTGTTTGCTTTTTGAAATGCCAAAAATCTCAAAATAATAGACTCTTCACAACATTGCGTCTATACTTCGCCAAATAAACAGATGCCAAACTCCCAAAAAGTAGGAAAACTCCTGGTTCGGTCTAAAACTACTCATGCATACTCCAAGAAACAAAAAATGGCTTACCGCTAGGTTCGATTGCAGACTTTTGAGTTGTATGCATCGTTGTATCCCACGAAGCATCGACTGAATGAGTCATGCCACTTGGCGTAACTTTGCTTCTCGTGGGTTGTGCAGTTTCCTCTTCACTTTCTGAGCTTGAATCATCTTCATCAGGTTGATTTTCCGTTGTGATCGTGTCAATCAAATCTTTATCTTTGCAAGTATCTTTTAGTGACTTCATCACTGTCTGATGTTGTGCCTTATCACATGGTAATGTATAATGAAATTCAGTTTGTGTCTTGTCACCTGATGTTTTCACAATGTTAACAGGAAATTGGCCCTTGACACCAACTTTCTCCAGTTGATTTTTAAGAAGTGAGCCGAATTTATTACCAACATTGGTACATCGACTTCGTTTTCGAGCAAAACGTGATGCATGACATGATCGAACTATCAACACACCATTAATATTCTTATCATCTTGTACTGTTACTTTGTGATCTTTGTCACAATCAACAGTTGATGGTTTACTTGGTTTGAGTGTTTTACCCGATTTCGTAGCAACTTTAGTTGTCACGCTGGCAGCATTTCTAGACTCTGCTTGGTTCTGAGTTGTCTCAGGTCCGGCTGACTTTCCTTTAGGCGCAACAGTGGCCTTCTTTGTTCCAGCAGAAATAGTTTCCACACTTTCATCTTCTTCAGCACTGCTACTATCACTATCTTCATCACCCTCAC